CAAGGATTCAGTTGTCATAAGCCCGCCTCCGCAGAGCTCTAAGGCTGGACGAGGTCGAAGGAGCGCAAAGGTGAAAATCCATAGCTAGATGAATCATCGCAGAGTTGCATGTGTGGTGCCTAAAAATGGGTGTTATGCACATTTCCCAGAGTATAATTAGTTTGCTTGTCTGACAGGATCTGCTGGAGGCTGCATTTAGTTAAGATAAGATATATGGCCTGTAATTTACTTCAGTTAAGAGCTTGTTGTTGGAATCTGCTTTGTCTTTGTGCATGCACTGGTAGTCACCTGCTTCTCTAACTGGCTTGAAGAAAGTGACACTTTGACTGTGTGCCTTCACAATCGACTGTACCTTTTGTCATCTCTGCTCTAAATCTGTTTTCTAACATTCATGCTTCAGTGATAAAAGCACTGGTAAGTGGCATAGCATGCATATGTTGAATGTTCAGGTAATACTGTAGTATTTATTTCTGACTACATAATTATTGTAAATAATTTATTAAAGGTTGGTTTAATATTATTTTTTAACTGCTGCATAGTTTATGGCAAGTGTTTTTAACATTCAGTTAGTAGGGCTGACTAGCAGCAATTTTGTTCTCACTAGTGGAAAAGTAATAACTCTTTCAGATATCAACAATTGAATTTCCCATTTGTACAACATAAACCATTTTGAATATGTGGGCATCATGTTATTGAAGTCCCACAAAGCCATTGATTTACTTTTAAATTAGTTTATTGATTTCAGATATGTAGCCCAAATTAGCATAATTATTGTAGATATATGCATGTACATCTTTAATATAGCTACAGTTTTGACTAGTGGAAATAGATTTTTGATATCAAAAATTCTATTCTGACTAGTTTTAAAATGAATTGCCAACATCCCAAATATAGTTGTTACTAGATATATATTCCAATAGTTAGAGCTGTAAAAAAAAAAGTCAGTCAAAAGTCAACGGTTGACTCGTTGTAAATAACTTATACATATCTACAGTGAGCATTTCCATTAGTAAGAAACTAATTGCTGATATCAAGAATTAACATTTTTACTAATAAATTAATTGCAGATATTTTTAAGTTACATTATAGGTATGTTGCCTTGGAATTCTCACCAGTCAGTTCTTACAGAAATTGTTAATATTTACTATTGCTATTACTGCTACTGATGGAATGTTAAAAGGGCTTGCCATAATGAGTTATATATAAAATTATGTCAGTAAGGTGCAACAGCACTTCTACATTTTTCATATATATAATATTTTTGTTTTATCCTCTGAATAGTCCACAGCAAGTGACCTGTTTGGAGCAGACCTCTTTGCTGCTCCCAGTCAATCTGAAGGCTCATCTGCATCAGCAGACCTTTTCAACAGTACACCTGCCACCTCCACTCACTCCTCCATAGCTGCTCTGGGTAATACACACAACGGGAACTTTGTGTTTTATCCACATGTAACAATACTGTTTTGGATTTACATTTCATTCCCTTTAAAATCTTCATATTCTTTTTTCTTTATATTCAGGGAATCTTCAGTTAGGTCCCCCAGCTACCACAGGCATCCCTGCTGCAGGCATGTGGGGAGCCTCAGTCACCGCACCCTCCATGTTCGCCATCCCAGGTGGGACCGCTCCAGGCCCTATGATAACCTACCCACAGCCATCTGCCTTTGGTGGCCTACCCATACCACCCACAGCCTGGGGCCAGCAGATGCCACCTCATTTCAGTCCTGCGCCCTTATCCCCACCACATCTCAACTGGGCCCAGCCTCCACAAGCTTCTCCAGGTTGGGGTCAGCCCAACATGACCAATCCTTTCCAGTCTGGCCCGTCGCGCCCCCCTCCTAGGCCACCTGCTAAGGAGGCCCCAAAGGTAGAGAACAGTGCCTTCACAGCTTTGGACCCCCTTGGAGATAAAGAGAAGAAGATTGGAAAGGACATGTTCAAGGACTTCCAGATTGCCAAACCGCCAGCCATCCCAGCGAGGAAAGGGGAGCTAGTGTCCAACTCTGCTCCAGCTCCCAGCAGCAACGAAGTTGGAAAATTCGATCAGTACTTTAACAGTAAAGTGGGCCTGCCTCAGGATATGGCAGATCACGATGACTTTGATATCAACCAAATTACAGCAGGTGTTAATACTAAGCCAATCAAAATTGTGCAAGTTGAAGTGTATGTGACTGTGAGATTTGTCACTAATTGTGTCCTCTGTTGCCTGTTTGGATTTTCCCAAACCAGCTCCTGCTCCAGCTGCAGCCCCAGCCCCGAGCTTTAACCCTGGCCTCCTTGATGCCGCTTTCTCTTCTGCACCTGTTGCAAACAATTCAGCCCAGGGACCCAATCAGGACATGTTTGATCAAGCATTTGGGGCCCCTGTAGCCATGGTACAGAGATTCACACAGACTATATTTATACCATATCTAGCATCACAGTATTAATTTGTAATCTTGGCATTTTTTTCGTAAATCTTACAGCAGACTGCTGCTGTCGGTCAGACTTCAGCTTCAACAGCTGCTTTTGGAGGTCCTTTTGGGAATCCCTTCGCTTGACCATGACTTTGTCCATAAGTAAGTATGTGTTTATGTCTGTTTATTCCTTAACTGACTTCATCCACACAGGATAAACACTATTTTTTCTCTCTTCTTTCTGCCCTCACAGTTGAAATGGAGAAAATGGAGATCTTGACATGAAAAAACATCTTTGGGACAAACTGCTACAATGTGCGCAAGACAATCCAGATGATGAACTTTTCCAACTCTTGTCCCTGACCCACCTATCTTTTACACCTCCACCTCTGATGTTGTTGTTTTTTCTATCCAATCAGTAGTTCCCCTTATTTCTAAAGACCACTGATCTAAGAAGTAAATGTTATGTCCTGATCTGCTGAAGGAAGAAATGTGGTGTGTGTGAGAGAAGGCACGCTCAAAGAGGTTATCTGCTGATGCTGTCTGTATTAAAGAAATAAAATAATACAATCATAATGATGCAAGATGTTGTCAAGTCCATTCATTCATTCTTCACACTAAATTAATTAAATGTTTGAAATCCACTGGAGGTTTGACAGTTGAACAGATAATAGATGTTTCTGCTAAATGTAATATATGTGATGACTTAAGTTCCTTCCATATCATCAAACAGTACATGAAAAAAAGATTCTTAATTGTCACAGAATGGAGTGTATAAATAAAAAAACAAATTCAAAGAACAAGAACAAATTCAGAACTTTAGGCTGGGGAAACATGCTCTCATATAGGCTACAAGTCATGCAGTCTAAATTGTACTTAAGTATAAGTATTAAAATTTTATCAGCAAAATAAACTATAGTTTCAAAGTAAAAGCACTCATTAAAGAATGGCTCCTTGCAGTATATATTACTGCATTAATTAATACAAGTAAACTGACGTGCAAGCTCGAATCACTTTTGTAATCTGTTGAGGTGGATCTGATTTTAAGAACTTAAAGGTCCAGTGTGTAGATGTAGGGATATCTATTGGCAGAAATGGTAGAAAATATTGATGACTTTGTTTTCATTTGTTTATAATCACCTAGTCTCGCTCACCAGACCTTTCTCAAGAAAAGAAAGGTCTGGCTGGGCCGACTCTCACTGTGAGATTGGAGGAAAAAACGCCGCAGCTGCTTGTACTTCTTTCAACCAATCACAGTCGTTCTGGGCGGTGCCACAGCAATGGTGCGCTTGCAAAAATATTGCCGGGGGGAAACAGGTTTTGGTGTAACACGCCCACAAAAATATCACCTACAGGACTCGAACCATGGCAGAAAAATGGCTACATCCCCGCAAGATCAAACACTTCAAAAGTTAGTAAAGTATGTGTTGAAAACGGTTGAAAACTGCTACACATCCGGAGGTGGTAGGGCGGGACTTCAGCGGGTGGCTCGTTCCGCCCAATGAGAGGCTGATCTCTGCAGCAAACTTCCACCCACTCAGACTAATAATCACCTGAAAAAAGAGCACTGTTGTGTTTTCGTTACCTTAAAATATCTACATATGGAGCAGTTCCTCTCCCATGGACTCTGCCATGTTGTTTTTACAGTAGCTCAGCTTTGTTCACTTTTTGGCCTGTTTTGTGTCTGCCACTGTAGTCCTCCAGCATGCTTGGCACGCAGGATGCTATCAGCTCTGCAACCTTGGCGATTGATGCCACTAAATCCTGCATAGTAGACCTTTAAACTCATCATCTATTTTGAATGAACAATTTTAATCCACAAAGCAACTATCTGTCAAATGGAATTTATAGAGTAAATAGAACAATATTTACATTAAATCAAAATTCCAGGTATTTAATAGTAGCCTACTTGAGTAATTTGCACTCACTTACATTGCACCACTGGTCATTTTATACAATCCCACACAAAATACACAGGAGAGGATGTTTAAAAACAGAAATTAAAGTCCTTGCATTGATGCATACATGGAAAAAATCAGGCCTTACTAGCTTTAATAAACAAAATAATAATTATTAGATGTGTCAACAGTTGTGCAAAGTAAGTAAACCTGTTTACTCAAGTATTGTACTGACATAGCCTACAATATTGAGGATTGTGTAGGTATTTTAATACTTGGGTACTTCCATTTTTTTAATCCCCTTTAAACTCTTACTCCACTACAGTGATATCTGACTTTAGTGTATGTTCTTTGAAAAAGAACATTCTAACAGTAACAAAGCCTATATCAAATAATCACAATTAGCTCCGCCTTGACCAACTACAACATCAAAATCCTGGTTATAAGTAGATTTATTACTAGTTCAGCATTTTATTGTTTTAATGCGTTTCCTTATAGATACGCATTTACTTTTGATTGCGTGTTTTTAGTTTGGTGTATGGTTCATTTCACAAGAATAATCATCGAAAGCTCACGTTCCTTGAGGAAGGTGCTTGCCTATAGACTGCCTGATCTTGCCTCATCCGCCTCTTTGCAGCGACGTGACTACATTTCCCACAACCCCTTTCACTTACGAAATATCGCGTCATGTAAAACATGGCGGATTAGTGTGTGCATGGGTTTTGCTATTTGCCACCCGTCGTCGATAAATGAACGCTTATTTCTCCCAGAAAACGACATATTCTTGAACAGGTACGTTGTTACAAGATAAATAACATCTGTGGACGTAATTTAAAAAAATGTGACTGTGTCAGCTTCTTAAAATTAGCAACAGGACGGTACATGTCAGGAAGAGACACATACTAAAAGTGTTTTCATACTAATTTTAACCCAGCTTTATTCACTTTTCGAACTGTTTTGTCCATCATTGACACGTTTGTTTACATCTAGAATTCATTATTTAGGTGTGTTAATGTGTGTTAGCTTATTAAACCTCTGGCGGTATTTCTTAACGGTCAGACTTAACGGCTTCTCCCCTGTCAACATTACCAGTTCTGTCAGCTGAACCTATTTAGCTGAGCTTTGCAAAACAGCAAACTGCATTAAAAAAAGCAAGATTTACTAGTGCTACAGCAATAAGTAATGTTTCACTGCACTGCTAAGGTGAAGTACTATGTTGCTAACGATAGAGTAACAGTATCAACAGTACTCTTACTGAAACAGAGTCTGCGGCTGTCAGTTCCTGGAGATCACACAAATGGCAGCCCAAAAATGTGCACATTCATGCAGAAGGCAATACTTCATATGATAAATGTAAATCTAGGTGATATAACCAATAAATCATACATTCATACAAAGCAAAATAATGATTGTAACCGTACTTATGGACATCGGTTTACGTTTTGTATTGTGTTTTCACTATAAAGTGTGCTTTTCACCGAACCATATATATTTCACAGTAATCCCCTCAAAGTAAATAATCTAAAATACAGTAAACTACAGCTATAGTCATCTGTCAGAAAGGTTGCACCTGGCTCCACTGTGATGCCTGAAAGCACAACATTAAACCGTTATTTTAACTATTGTAGCAGACACTCAATACATTGCAACATTTCATCATCACAGCAATACAAGGAAAGTAACTGCATTGCCTGTTTGTCTTTTCTCCCACTACTGCCATACATTTGAAATGTGTGGTTGGTAAGCAATGTTGCATTGATTCAGTAACCTGAAAGCTGAGTAAAGAGCAGTGATACTTGTGCTGACATGAGGTGTCTGTAGTCTGAAAACTGAGCATATGATTGAGTTTCTGCACTTTGTCTGTCAAATGCATCATTTTAGATTTGAAGGGAAGAATTTACTGAGTTAGTTCGGCACTTTGCATTCAAGAAAAATACTGAGATGGAAGTGCAGTCCTAATTGCTGTCAAACTAAATTCCGGGAGAGGATTTGTGTGTTTTTTGTTCTGCATCCTATCCAGTACATGAGTTTCTGCAAGTATCTGACCTGAGGAAAAGTGACTCATTAATTGATGCACTTAAATCTGTCCATGTATCAGTTGTTTTACACAAAGCACATAGGCCATACCTCTGCTTTTCCACAGTAGCTCTGGTTCTTGGAGTAATTTTCTCAAAGATATACTATGCAGGATCTTTCTAAAAAACAATGCAGAGAGTCATTCAAAAGTAATCCCTTTTAATTATCCAGTAGGAGTGTGTGACATTGTGTTTATCTGCAGAGACGCTGCCCTCTGCCTTTATTTTCTTCTTATTTTGATGTGGTCAGGACATTCCCAGATACGGCGCGCAGGTGAGATTGGGACTTTATGTAAAAGTAGCAACTGGGTGCCAGACTGTAAGAAGCTCGCATCCAAGAGGAATTTACGAAAATCGCTGACACAGCGTCGAAAAAAACACCAATATAGCAAAAGAGAGTGAATTTGAGGTTGCCTACACTTTCACTTATGCTGGTGATACTACTTACAGATAGTAACAACAGTAACAACTGACAATTCCTGCATAATATACCTTTAAGTTATATTTCACTTTCAGCTGGTTTTGCTGTTCGAATACTGATGCAGCTTTGACCCCCTGTGTTTTTCAGGTCAAAATGTTTCGTCGGTCAAGATTTAGTATTCGGCCCAATGTCGGTACGGCGGGGAGAACAGCAGCAACACCTCAGGAAGCCCCTTCAGCAAATCAGGAGGCCAGTGAGAACCCCAAAGATGTCAGTGAGAGCAGCACTGCTACTGCTGTGACTGATGACAAGTCTGTTGTGACCCTGTCAGAAAAACCTACAGCCTCAGGGTGAGTGACAAGCATTAAATGGCGTATTTACTACTTTTGTTATGTATGACAAAAATACTAATTCTTACTACTGTTTAGGGATGGTAATGACCAGAATGGAGAAGGTACCAGCTCTTCAGCAGCACTCCAGAGAAGGAAGCGGTTTTCCATCAAGCCTAAAGTGGCCCCCGGTCGCCCCTCCACCCTTGCTCGGACACAAAAATCCCCTGTCAAGGCAGTGTCTGAAACTTCTACTGAAGTCCCTGTCTCAGACCTCGACAAGTCAACTACCTCCAGCCAAACTGGGCCTACAGCTGCCCCTCAAAGACTCCAGTCCCCAAGGCGACGGAGGCCTTCAGAAGAGAGCAAACAGCCCAAAATACAACCTAAACCTACCCTCATCCCTTCTGACAGTTCAGAACCCTCAGCTCCTCCTACAGCTGAGGACTCTCCAGAACAACCCCATTTGCCGACAGACAGTGGCAAAGAATTAGAAAGCACACCAGGCAGTCAAGTTAAAGAAGTTCCTTCCAAAATACCAGATAAAGTGCCCCCCTCTCTACCAGACAAAGAAGCTATTGAGATATCAGAAAAAGCCAAGACGTTGGTGTCATCTAAGTGTGGGCTTTCAGTGTCAGCACCAGCGTTCTCCTTGAGTAGACTCCTGAATGACCCGTCAGACTTACAGAGGCTTGCAAAGGCCCAAAAGCTCCGAGAGTTGCTCAAACAGGAGATGAACAAAGAAAAGGTAAGCTGGGATTATCCAGCAGGCATACTTCTCCTCATTCTCTTCATTTTTTACGTTTAGTTTCATTAATAAGATATATACTGTTAGATATTACATGAAAAGAGTGTGTCAATTGATGTTGCAGAAAATGAAGAAAGCTAAGGCACGTACAAAGGAATATACCATAGATCCCGCCAAAATGACCATGAGGGACCTTATCCGCTATCTGCCGCTGTCTAACCCCATGACGTAAGTGTCTCATCTGCAACTTGGTCAAGCTTGTGTAACAGCTGAACCTCCATAGATAAGGTTTTCTATTGATTATTCTGGATCTTATTTGACTTGAAGGTTTTTTTTGTGGTTCCTTGTTTTATGTAGCAATAATCTGCATTTTTTTTACAGATCTAATTTAGAAGAGTCAGCTCAAGAGAATGAGACTGTGGTCCCACCTTCTCCTGCAAGAGAAGAGTAAGTTCAGACTATCATCTCTTGAAAATCTTATGTTTTCATTCTGATTTCCTTATCTGTATCTATACTTGAGTATTAAAAGGGATTTGATTTCTTTATGTTAAGTTTCCTTATTATTTGATGGGAATTTATCTCGCAGAGACCAATTAAATACAACATGATTTTGATAAAAAGAAAAATTGAGTAAAAGTAATTGGAACTAAAATATAAGTTGAAATTAAAGTACCATTAAAAAAAATCTTAAATCATAAATTAAATGTTTCTGCAACATCTCTATCATCAGCCAGGTTAATATGTGGACATTGTAAGGCTGTAATTTGTATCATGAGACATACAGGTTGCTTGGATACCAACCCTCTTCCCTCTGCCTGATGTTTGCGATGTTGCGATGTTTGCGATGCAGGTCACCAGAGAGAGCGCAGCAACCTGAGGTCCCCCCTAAAATAGCGAGCCCAAGGGAGGAGGAAGAGGCGGAGGCAGAGGCAGAGGCAGAGGAAGAGGAGGATGATGGCATCATGGTTCCTCAGGTCAAAGTAGCAGAGGATGGCTCATTGATCATTGATGAAGAGAGGTCAGTGGACTTCTAGAGGCTGTGAAATGTATTCTTTCATGTTTATCTACTTCCCTTCCCTTTGTTATTGTAGATACAATGTTGTACCCCTTGAATTATTTATTACTATCATTATTTACTTGATATAAACTGTATAACAACGTCTGCAAATGTATCTACAACACCCTCCAGAGACGTGTTTTTTTTCCTGTTAATATAAAAATTGTGATATTGAAGATGCTGGAACCAAATGTAGTGCTAATTATATTCTCTCAACTTATGTCTCAGTTTGACAGTGGAGGTCCAGCGAGCCAAAGGGCCAAATCCAGCACAGGATCGTGACCCCATCTTTGAGCGGGGCTCCACTACGACCTACTCAAGCTTCAGAAAAGGGACCTATTCGAAGCCCTGGTCCAGTGAAGGTTGAACTAATATAGATACCTGAATTGTAACATCTTTTTTTGCACACGTTTGCTCTGATGCTTTGTTCATATTTGTTTTTAATGTCATGATTGTTTTGCTGTTTTGTCATCAGAGACAGACATGTTCTTCCTGGCAATTAGCATGGTGGGAACAGACTTTTCCATGATTTGCCAGCTGTTTCCTCACAGAGCACGATCAGAAATAAAGGTTAGTAATAAATACAGATATGCGAACATATATTTGTAGTGCGTGAAATGAAGGAGCAACACATTGCTTCATTAAATAAACAATAAAATGTTTGTGTTGATTACATTTTTTAAAACTTTCAGAACAAATTCAAAAAAGAAGAGCGAGAGAACACCTGGAGAATTGACAAAGCTTTCAGTGAGTATTCAGTAGGACAATATATTCAGCTGGATGAATACAGTATTAAAAGATTAATGTTCCTTGTGCAATTTCTGCATATAATCTAATGCGACATTTATTGCTTATTATTTTGTAGGAGAGAGGCGCAAACTGGACATAGAGTATTTTTCTAAGCTGCTGGAAAAGATTCTGGAAGTTCAGAAAAACAGGAAGAAACTCAAGTCTCTTGCTGGGAAGAAATCCCCCAAGAAGCCTAAGAGAAAGGCAAAGGGTAATTTTATCCCTTCATGCTTTTTATCATGTGTAATACACAGGGAGTTGTGCATTATTGCTACATAACTTTATTAATCTGGGGTACACATTGAACAACTGTTCTCCCTGAGCTTGTCTCAATTCAGCAATCCTTGTGTGTTCTAATTCCCTCTCAAGACAAAAAAGCTGCAAGGAAGCTGAGTGTTGTGGAGGAGGAAGATGAGGAAGAGCAGAATGAAATTTCTGACTTGGAGGAGGAGGAGGAGGAGGAGGGAGAGAAAGAGAATGAGGACCTCTGTAATGAGGGAGGAACCACTGTTGCTAAGCCTAAGAAGAAACGCAAGAGGAAGAGCAAGCAGGATGACATGACAGAGGAACCAAATGACAAGAAAAACAAAACGGGTGAAAAGAGCAATGAACAAGGTAAAGGAGCATTCTGTTGTTTCATGAAAATGGTCTTGGTTGTTATAAAAATTGGTAGATGTAAAACAAAAAAAAAAATATAGCCATACATGCATAAACATTGCAATGTAGAATGTGGATCCATGGGAGTTACAATTTTGTTTTGCCTAACTGGTGTAACATGATTTCTAGAATATGAATGAAATATTTAAAATTCTACATTTGGTCAAGATGACTTCCTCTTTTTTTCCTTAAAGTTATCTGAGCTTCTCCACGAGTGCTTGGTCCTTGTTGATTGCCTGCACTTAAATGTTGTTTTGCTTTTGCATGCTCAGATGAGGCCTACATACCCGAAGACGCTGAGGCAGCACTTCCTGAGGACCGTCCAAATTCAGACATGTAATGAAACTTTAAAAGTATGTTTTTAAATAGAGATTAACCATCATCAGTTGGTATTACAATTCTCTGTTTTGTCCCAATATTCAGGACTGAAAAGACTGAGAATGTGAATGCAGCCAAGAACACCACAATCAAGCCAGCTAAACTCTCACGAGGCCGAGCACCAAAACCATTACTGCCCCTTGGCCGGAAGTGGAGTAAAAAGCCTCCACCACCCTCCACAAAGGCCAATGATAGTACATCAGATAAAGGGGATGAGAGTGTGATTGATGGAGCCTCTGAGGAGCAGGTTATTATTTTTAGTTTCAGTTTTGAGTCATCAGATATTTTAACGCACTGTTACTATGACTTACTTAAAGATATGCTAACTTTTAGGTAAATAAAGATGCATCACCCAATAAGAGGAAGTCCGCCAATGATGACATTTCCTCTGAAGAAGAGGATGCAACCGTTCAACCTCCAAGACCCACCAGGTACATTACTTCATGTTTTCATGACTCCCATATTAACATTGTATCCAGACACATTCCTATTCCCAAATAAAATACTTAGGATATAATAGGATAGGAGCAGATCATCAGTGTGTGATTGTGTTTAATAGGTATGGGAGAGTGCCCAAACCAACCAAGCCCTTGAATTACCCAGACAAAGAAGCTGCACACTCCTCTGAAACCACTCCCGCCTCACCAGCAGGGTCCACTGCCTCTGCTGCCAGGCCTAAACCCAAAGGCACAGCCAAGAGGGGAAGATCATCAAAGCCACAATCAGCCCAAGAGTCCAAAAGGCCCAAACTGGTCACCCTCAGGGCTTCTCAGTCAGAATACAGTGATGACGAGGATGAAATGCAGCGAGAAGAAGAGGTGGAGGAAGAGGAGCAGCCTGCATGCAGCTACAGTAAGGACAGCACTGCCCCTGTGTTTGTGCCAGCCAGCCTGCGCTCCCCACATCCTGTGATTTCAGAAGTGGAAGAGACAATGGAGGAGGTAAGAGAAACTGTTTTCTGTTATGCCTTGCACAGATGCAACACCATCCATTTTTTATTTGGTTATTTTTTACATAATTCTTATAACAAGCATTTTTGTGTGTGTTTTTTTTTTTTTTTTTGCATTAGTTATTCTTTGTGCATGGTTTTCCATTTCATAATTCAAACCCTCCACTCTGACTCCCCCATCAAACATGTAGCTTGATATCTTGGCCAATATGCCTGATGTGTTGGGCATCTCCCAAGATGCACTGTGCCCTGATGCCTCTTGCGAGCAGGCACAAAATGAGACAGGCACAGTTGAACCATGTGAACATCAGCTGGACCTGCTTGTTGTAAGTGTCCCATGCCTAAAATATATTGCCAGTAATTTTAAATATTTATCCCCAGTTACACTTTTCATTTTAATATAATTTCTATGATTGAATTTTAAAGATCTGATGTAACCACCTGCAGAATGTTATCTAAAAATTGGCCAGCATTGATAAGATACAGCTTTATTTTCTTCCTCCCTCTTTCCAGTTGTAGTGCATGTATTTGGTTTGCAGTTTGATCACAAATTTCCAGCCAAGTTTAGTTTTTGCACACTTTAAATTAGGAAAAAGCAAGATAAGTGAGTTTAAACAATGTTGCATGCAGTCTTTATGCTTTAGCTGGATGAACTTAAAGCAACTTTTTTGTGTCCAGATGCAATCACCTTAAAGACGAAAAAAGAAAATGTCAAAGAAGTGTAACTGGGACTACCATAATACATGTCCATATCCATCACATCCTTTCAAAAGTAGTCTGGCTTATATTGGAAACTTTTGTTGTGACTTACTATGTATTTGTTTCCCTTGCAGGATGTAATAGACTTTCTTTCTTCAGAACACACAGAAGGTCTGTTGAAGAAGTACTCCCAGTGGAAAACATGTATCTATATGGTGTATATATTTAGATGGTTTCAAATTTTTTGGTGGTCTTTTTGTTTTAGTATCCGAGGACGCTAGCTACAACGAGGCCGCTCAAACCCTGTTGACCATCGGGAATCTGACACACCTGTCTCAGTCAGCTGTGAATCAAATCGCCATACAAGATCACATAACTGGTTAGAGAGAAAACATTCCTTACATTGAAATTGGCTTGCATTCCTTTTTGATTAAATTACAGTAAATTTAAAATGTGCTATTTTGTTCAGTTGCAGGGACAACATCAGTAAGTGTGAATAAAACCAGCCAACACCGAGAAGAAGAGATTGGATCAGTGCCTGCTGCACAAGAGGAAAAAAGCGCCACACCTGTTATGTCAGAAACGTTTGGTCGTGGAGTCACTGAAACATCAGAAAATGTTACCACTGTGGAGCTACAAAACAGCACAACAGACAACGATGATGTTCCCAATGTTAAATTCAATGATCAGAGTGCTGGTTCTGATATGGACCCTACACGTCAATTGCACTCAAGTCCAGAGGGCCCAAAAAACAAATCTCCACAGACAAGGAAAGGACGCTTACCTAAGGTGAAACCAAAACCCAACCTAGGCCAAGTTTCAAGGACTGGTCAGTCAAAATCCATTCCAGAGACATCAACAGTACAGACAGCTGAAGAGAGCTGCACAGTTGCTCCTGATCATTCTCAAGCCTTTGAGACACTATCAGCTACAGAGGAAGCCCCTAAGATAGCAGAGTGTAGTCAAGAATTGTTAAAAGATACTTCTTGTATTGAAGCTAAACTTACAGGAGGGCCATTTGGCATTCAGCAGAGGTCTGGTGATCAAGTAAAATCAGGTGCAGCAACATCTTATCAGAGTGCCTCAGAAAACCAGATCTTCTCTGAAGCCCAGTTTGAACCCAGCAGGGAACTGGCCACCACAGACACAAGGCCAACATCCACAGATGAAAAACTGATGTCTCATTTTAGGACAACTGAGAATAGTTGGAAAAATACATTGACATCTGACTCAGCAGCCACAGAATCACAGGTTGGTCAAGGTTTAAACAGAGATTCAGTCCCTGCACAAGAGAGCAGCGACCATTCTGCACCATGTGTTACACCTGTAGAAGAATTACCAGTAACTCAGAAAGAAGAGAGTGAAGTTGCATCTACTCGCCAGACCAGGAGGAATCGATTCCAGAAAGTCAAACCGAACTTAACACAGACATCAAGGACTGTGCATTCCAAACCTCAAACCACAAAAGATACCTTAGAAAAGGACTCCAACCAAACTCCAAACCCCAAATTTGATGAAAAAACAATAGTAGAGGTTGAAGCAGAACCAACTTGTACCACTTCTCCTGAAAAACCAAGTCAAAGTCATGATCCTGCTTCAGATTTGACACCATCATTGGATTTAGGGTGTACTCTTCCACCCACAGAGGAGATGTCTTCAATTGAGGACAAAAAGACAAATGCTGGAGTCGCTGGTCAGGTAGAACCAGTTACAGCAACATCAGATCAAAGCTTCTCAGAAAACCAGAACTTAATTGAAGCCCAGTTTGAACCCAGTAGAGGACAGGCCACCACAGACACAAGGCCAACATCTGAGTCCACAGATGAAAAACTGATGTCTCATTTTGGGACAAATGAGAATAGTTTTATTGATCCACTGACATCTGAGTCAGCAGTCATGGAATCACAAGTTGGCCAAGGGTCAAAGAGAGACTCTGCCCCTAACCAGGAGAGCAGTAGCCATCCTGCTCCATGTGTTACATCAGTAGAAGAATTACCTGTTGGTCAGAAAGAAGAGAGTAAAGTTGCATCTGCTTGCCAAACCAGGAGGAGTCGATTCCAGAAAGTCAAACCCAACCTAGCACAGACATCAAGGACTGTACTTTCCAAACCTGAAACCACAAAAGTTACTTTGGAGAAAGACTCCAACCAAACTCCAAAACCCAAAGTCCATGAAAAAACAATTGTAGAGGTTGAAGCAGAACCAACTTGCACCACTTCTCCTGAAAACCCAAGTCAAAGTCATGATCCTGCTTCAGATTTGACACCATCATTGGATTTAGGGTGTACTCTTCCACCCACAGAGGAGATGTCTTCAATTGAGGACAAAAAGACAAATGTTGGAGTCGTTAGTCAGGTAGAATCAGATGGTGCAACATCAGCTCAGAGTACCTCAGAAAACTGTTTCTCCTCTGAAGCCCAATTAGAATCCAGTAGTAAACAGGCCACCACAGAGACAAGGACAACATCTGAGTCCACACATGAAAAACAGATGTCTCATGTTGGGATAACTGAGAGTATTTGTAATGATCCACTGGCGCCCGACTCAGCACTCTCAGAATCACAAGTTGGCCAAGCATCAGACACAGCCCCTATTCAAGGGAGCAGTGGCCATCCTGCTCTATGTGCAACACCTGCACAAGCGTTACCTGTCAGTCAGAAAGAAGAGAGTGAAGTCGAATCTACTTGCCAGAGTAGGAGAGGTAGATTACAAAAAGTCAAACCCAAACCCAACTTACCACAAAGAACTGTGCGCTCTAAACCTCAAACCACAAAAGATCCTGCTTCACCTATGCAGTTTGCAGAGAAACCCTGCAGTCCAACTTCAAGGCCTGAGTCCACAGCCAACACAACAGCACAGGTAGAAGCAAAGCCAACTTGCAGCACCATCCTTCCTGAAGCACCAAGCCGAATTAAAAATACTGACACTGCTTCAGTGTCACTGCCATCATTGGAAGTATGCTCAACTCATAAAACCACAGATGAATTATTTTCAACCGAGGAGCAAAAGACAGATGTTGTGTGTAGACTAGAGCCAGAGAGCTCAGAACAAAATGTTTCTCAAAGAAGGCAACGCTTTCCCAAGGTCAAACCCAAACCCAATTTAGGATCATCCCTGCGAACTACACACACAAAACTGCAGTCAAATGATATCATTAAACCCTCAGAACAGTGCCATACAGGTACCTCTTTAACCTCAGAACAACAGCCTCTGGAAAATAACAATGCACAAACAGAAGTGGAACTGACAACAGACAGCAAGCACCTAACAAGCACACATTGCTCATTACATTCAGAACTGAGCTCAACAATGTTAGCATCTACAGAGTCAGGGAAGTCGCTTGACAGCATAAATGATAAAGATACATCCTCTGACGGTGTCATCATAACAGCATCTTGGGTTGCTGAAAATCAGTCTGTGCTGACAGACTCAGTTCTTGAAAATGAGAGCACCGAAAAACCCACAGTTGAAGAGGAATCCACAATGGACAAAATGTCAAATTATGACAAGGTGGAGGCCGGACCTGCTTCACAATGGGACTGCCAACAGGACACGTCTATTAGAGCTACAGAGACAAATACCCAACCAACAGATAATCCAACTGCAGTTTCAGACATCCAGTGTTCAGAAGGTGGTTCAGCAGAGTCAAAAATTGAATTTGCACTCCCTACTAATACACAGTACACAACGGATCCAAAAGAAGGCGCTCAGCTACCACAGTCAGAGAATGATTCAGAGGCACAAAGTCAAGATTCAGTCCAACAATGTTCTGAAACTAATCAAACAGCAGCACAAAGGTAAGATATGAATATTCCTGATTGTTTTCTCAGAAAGATGTATGGAATTATTAGTTTTTTTCTTCTAACAGAGTTTGTTTTCCACTTAAAGCACTGATAACAGACAGTCAGAGCCAGTGGACTGTCCTTCAAGAAAACCTGCGCTGACTCGTAGAGGCTGGCTTATTAAACCCAAACCCAGCCTTAGCCGCAGCAGTCGACCTCGACAACCCCAGCAAGTTCAGCACACAAAACAAGCAGAAGCAGGTTTGACACCTTTTAACATGAAAATTTCCTGACTTTAAAGAACGCTGACCAGATATCCAAGACTACTACTATCTATGGCCCAGCAGTACCTTTGTTGATCATTAATGGGTTTTTTTTTCCCCACATGCTTTGGTTCTCAATCAGAAGGTATGGATGCTTCAGCTTGCAAACCTGTGTCTGAACACCAACCTGAAATCCTGGAACCAGCAGAGGGAGCTATTGAACAATGTAGTGACCCAAATTCCCCTCCAAATGATTCTGGATCCTCATTAGGCTGTTTGACACAAGTTATGGAACAGTTGAATCAACATGACTCCACTCCAGATGTTGCTGGATCCTCTCTTGGTTGTGTGAAACAAGTACCTTACAGTTTTACTCAGGTAAGATATATGTGCAGGAGGAGGCACACTTGTGAGCATTACATATATGATTGCAGTTATTTTGTGCTGAAATTTTAGTTGAAATTGTTAATAGTTGGCCTTGGCCAGATATGTAACAACATGCTAATAACTTGGAACAATATTATATATTTACCGTGTGTCACCAAACCACTAATTTTGAATTATGTAGCAGTGATTCCCAACCAGGTGGTACTTCTGCAGTTGCTAGTGGATGTGAGAAGACTGTAGAGTAGCAAAAAAGGACTGCAGTATAGTACCAACACAGCCTTTGACCATGCGTAGGGTGTAGTCTTGGTCAAGAATCTCTTTACTACATTTAAAGGAACAGTTCACCCCAAAACCAAAACCAAAACCACATAATTTCCCTTCTACCTTTAGTACTATTTAGTTTCGGGATGAGTTGCTGAGTGTTGAAGATATCGGCCGTAGAGATTTCTGCCTTCTTTCCAATAAAATGGAACTAGATGGCACTCAGCTTGTGGTGCTCAAAGTGCTAAAAAACATTTGAAAAACTCTATAGTAATGTCTCTTTCCAGAAGTCATGACCCAGTTACTCAAGGTAATCCACTGACGTTGTCCTATGCATTTCATGTAGAAACTATTTTCTTTCTGCTGAACTACAGCCGCCAACCATATCACTGCACAGAAGGAAGCATGCATCTGCTGCTAGCTCACGTAGTTACACTTAGCTAGTTAATGTTACAGTACAGCCGAGGAGTAGACGATTATTTTTTACATCTCATGCTGTCACAAGCACAAGCCCTCTCTAGTTCCATCATACTGGAGAGAAGGCAGACATCTTTAGGCCAAGATTTCCAATGCTCGGCAACTCGTATCAAAACAATCTGGATTGATAAATAAACACTACAGGTAAGAGTTTTGATTTAGGGGTGAACTGTCCCTTTAAGGATTACACCTAAAATGTGTCTCTCTGACTTTCTTATCAATCCCAGGATGCATCAACATCGAGTACAGGAGGGACCCAGAGTCATCCAAGTCTCACAATATTTCCAGACAGTGAGTCAGTTTTTGGTTGATGTTGTCCTGTGAATTACATTATACAGTATACGGCATGTTTTTGTCTAAAACTTTTCTCACTCTCACTCTCACTCTCAGTGCTGCCGCAGCAGGAGCCTTCAGATCCAGATGAACCGTTCTTCATCCTCTCGCTGACTGAGATCCCAGTCTGCTCAGCAGGAGAGGTGCTGGGCAGTGTGCCCGAGCCCCTCCCTTATCTTCCTGTAACAGATGCATCAGTAGAGCAACAGAGGTCAGTGCTTGCCTTTTATCAGATGGTCATCCTGTTCATGCAGGCGTGGATCTGGTTTTGTTTGGTGTCTGATTCTACAACTCTCCTCAACCCTTATCAGCAATCCTGGAGAAAGTTTGGCAGCAGCAGGGGGCGGGCTTCTCTCTAATGTTGCTGTGCCTGTGTCCATGGTGGAGAGCGAGGAAACAGGCCTCATCAATGTCATAGATATTGGGCCTGACCCAACTGCATATATAGTAAGTGAAGTTACAAGAAACCACATGTAGCCAGTGTGCTAAAATGTCTTTATTTGTGACACATTTTTGTTTTTCACTCACACCAGGGTTCAATCATGGAAAATCCAGTGGATCCACACGGTAGAGTGATGGCATTATTCTGCTACTCATTTAAACTAATGATTAATGTTGTATTACTGATAGTAAATGTGTATTGCTTGTATTTATGGGACAGAGAATACAACAGTCCATCCATCTAAATTACCAGAGACCATAGAGAATAATGAGACTGAAATCGCCCCTACAAAGCAGAGACTAATGAGCATTAGAGGAAGAGGTAGGCAGTACATGAATACTTTCTCATCACATGCACTCTCAACAAATTGGACACATTTTTTTCATCATGTACCTGTTCCTCTCAGGACCAGCCCAACTGCAGGTAGAGTCCAATACTACAAAGAGGAAAGAAGCCAGCAAGGCCCTCGCTGCCAAGGAAGCAGAGCCAATCCCCATCCAAACAAACACCACCCTGCACTCAGAGCTTCTCGGGCCCTCTGTGCAGCCAAAAGCCTTGGATGACATTGTTACTGAGCAACAGAAAGGAAGTGGCGATCATGTACATGCTGAAAAGGAGACTCTGACAGGTGGGGAGGACCCCGAGAATACCAGCTCAGGAGCACTAATTAAACGGACAAGGGGGGCGACTGGTCGGAATAGGTGAGGAAAAATGGTCCTTTGTTGAAATGTGAATAAATCTCCCAGTTTTCATGTTGGTATCTATCAATTGTAACAAAATGTTAATTGATTTTTATTGTTCAATACCGTACAGAAAATCTAAAGAGACAAACGACACTGCCCCAAGTGATTCTCCACCTGGCAAAGCAGCCTCCAAGGGTGCTAAGGTCAAAACTCAGCGTGCAGCAAGAAAACGATTTACCCCAGCATCTGTAGCCTCAACATCATATGATGTCGCTCCCACACCCAGACCAACACAGCCGACAGAGGAAACCCACTCAACATCCTCTACTGCATCACCAACACACACACAGGTGCACCTTGAACAGACTTCTGAGCACAGCCGACTATGCTCAGACACAACTCCTATTACTCCTCTGTGTCCAGCTGAGGTAAGGAGGGTACAATGACAGAGGTGGATGGAGAGGCATCCTGATTCGGTGGGATGAGTTGATTACAGCTGATCCTTTTTTCTCCCTTGTTGTAGGTTTCAGCTTCTCAGCAAAGTTTGGAGAGCAGCTCTATAGAGGAGGAGCCCACCAGTGTGTCTCAGTACTTCTTAAGTGACATTTTTACAGAAGTGGAAGACGGATGAAAGCTGTAGGAAGATGGAGTGAGAGGAGAAACCTGCAGGTGGCTTTGCCTTTTCAATTTTTTTGTTGTGTTAAGTTATGTTTGTAAAGATTCATTTATGACTGAAAGACTGTTTTTGTTTTTGTTTTTGCTGTCCGTTGTCATTAAGTGAAGCTAAATTTACTTTACTTTCACAAGCACTTTGAATATGTACAATATGTGTATTTACTGAAATGCCTTTTTTAAAAGCCTCTAGTTCAAATAAATAATAAATTGTACACATTAACCAAAACACTGGTAAATAACTAATCTGAATCAGAGGTGGCAGCATTCCCTTAAATATTCATGAAGCCTCAGATTCCCCAATGTGGTGAACCACCTGTGAAAATGTAAATATTGTACAATAGGAAATGAGCTTTTGACATTTTTCTTTTCTGTATGTGCTCCATTTTTAATACAGGCCATTACATTGGTCTCAGGACATAAAGACATAACCCAGACATCATGTATAGCTGTATGTTTAAATGTATTACCTTTTTTAATGCCTCTTCTGTGTATTTTTGTGCTAATTTATAATCATCCGTTCTAATTTTGGTGTATTAGACAAAGGATGTCCTAATATTGGCTTTTCTTTTAGAAAACCGACAGACAGAATTTCACTTCATAGAACTGCATCATTGTCCCAACTTCACCCCATACAGAGCAGAGGTACTCAGACTTTATTTAAGGGAAATGTTCTGCCAGCTAGCTTTCATTAAGACATTTTGTGAAACTGTATATAGTGTCAATTAGAGGTCCTTGCACAGATTTGCAGCATTCATGTTATGTTTGATACTTGAAACAAAAACATGAAATCTTCCTTAAACATTTCATGAAGTCATTAAAAGTCAAACATGGCATTCTGTAAGATCTGAATAAAATGGAGTCTTTCACCACCACAATCTGATTCAGTCTTTCATACAGATTTCAGGCAGATTTAAATGAGCTCTATAAACTCAAACTTTTGTATGTTTCTGTGGAGTTAAAAGCAAATCATTTTATTACAATTAACTAGTTATAACTTAATGTTTGATTGGATGGATTTTTGATTACAAGGGTGGGGTGACACAATACAGGCACATACCATCAAAATGATGCTTTTCATAAATTTGATATGTCCTCTTTATGAAATGGATGGTCTTAATAAAATCATTTTCTACAGCAAAAAATGATGAAATTGGTCTGTCCCAACAGTGATAAAGATTTTCCTTTGACAAGGCTTAACAATACACATGATTCACATTCAAAATACATATAAAACAACTTAATAAAAAAAGGACTGTATAAACAGCAGCTGATACAGGTTGGTTGAAGTGATGTGTCTATTTTAGATTGTTCAGGGTGGTTATTGCAGAGGGAATGAAGGATTTCTTGTATATGGGCCAGTGAGACTTTGTAGCATCGGCCTGATGGCAGTAACTGGAAGGAGTGGTAGAGGGGGTGAGAAGGGTCCTCAGTGATCAGGGTGGCTTTCCTGACCACTGAGCGGTTATACAGTTCAGATAGAGTGTTGAAGGTGAGAGTGGATTCAATGAGTGAAAAATGTCCTTGCTGACATGAAAAGATTTGAGTTTCCTCAGCAGGCGGAGGCGCTGTTGTGCTTTATTGTACAGAGTCAGTGTGCTGTGAAAAGGACAGACAGGTGTCTCTCTCTGTTCTGAGGTATTTCAAAGACTGAACCTGCTCTACCAGCTGACCCTACATAGTGAGCGGCTGGAAAAGACGTGATGATGGTGTTTTCTCTCTGCCCCCACAGCACAGCTCTTTGGTCTTTTAGATGTTGAGCTCAGATGTTTTCTCCAGATGTTTTCACCCGATTGTTGACAGCCTGCTGGTATTGGTACAAAGCATTGTTGCCAGTCAGGTTAGCCACCAGGGCCATTTCATCTGCATACTTAAAAAGTGTCATTCCTTCACTGCTACAGGAAATGCTATTGGTATAAACAAAGAGAATGGGAGATACACAGCCTTGGGGGAGCCCTGTGTTTAAAATCAACTTACTGGATTTAAAACCATTAATAAACACCTGTTGTGGTCTGTCCTGTACAAAAAACTCTTTATTCATAAAACAAGTGTTGGGTGGACCTGAAGCTCCGAAGGGTGGTGCAGCAGGGTGGTTGTGTGAACAGTGTTAGAAGGAGAGCGGTGTCATGAGTTGCTCTTTTGCAGAGTAGCACCCCCAAGGTCAATATATTAACTCAACCCATTGACAAAAAAAAGTGCAGAATAAATCAAGTTAGTATAGGTAGAAATCACACACATTACTAATTTAATAATAATAATAAATTTAACTTAATATTATATGCTTTTGCTAATATACGATGGTATGTTGGCACAGTTTAGGCCATCATATTGATTGAGAAGCTTTGTACAATCATAGTAAAGGTGTTGCAACAAACAAAATGTGTAAAATGAGTAGTAAAAGGCATTTTGCATGATAATATGTAATAAAGTAAGCAAAAATAAACTTTTTTTTTTAACTCTATGAAATCCTATGGGGCTCAGGATTTCAAAACGACTCTCCTCTCACTACGCTTAAACTACATAGTCCAAGCTTCACTATAATAGACACTGTTACCACATTCATTTATGGATTGTAAAAAGTGGAGGATCCAATACCACCTTATGAAAAAGTTACATGTCCTCTGTGTCCTCTCCTCTGAAATACGCCCCTGCCTAATTGTTCTTTTGAGCCTATATAAATGTCTGCTTTTAATACATCTGTGTTTTAAGACAGTATAAATCACTGTATGCTTAGGCATTCATTGATGCATGTGATACAGCGGAAAATAAGACTATAAGGTTTGAGATCCCTCTAATCCCTAATGCTGCAACCTCTTGTTGAGAGGCTTAAGACTGTTTTGATCTCTCTGTTGAGTAACTAACTGCTCTGTCCGCAGGTCCACTCTAACACTCAGTCAGCTGTGAGATTAGTCACTCCACCACTGTACTGCCTGCTGACTGACTGCACACCGACTGGAGCAGACCACTGAGGCACCGCAGAGAAGGAACATGAGTGATAACACCCAGGTTAGTGATAGAGGAGGATACTTGTAGTTTATGTATTTCTGAATAATTCATTACAGGCGTTAATATTGTGGTTCAGTACTGACAGTGTGTATGATTGATTTTCATTTGTGGTAATATAACCACTTTAAAAAAAATTTTAGGGGTATTTGTCATTTTAAATGTTGAAAAAAATCTTGAGTGTGTTGGACTGTAACATTATAGTTTCTTAACAGAAGCCCTATCCTGTGTTACTGTTGTAACTAGTGTAGTTGATCCCAGACAATCTGCAGTATCATCAGTTTCCATTTTGCCCTTATTTGAAAGGTATTATAATATGGCACAATTGTAAGGCTTTTGAGGTGAGCTACAGGTTATGTAATTATTTGGGATCTATACAGAACAAAATCCCAACATATGAACACAGCTTAGGCTCATAACACATGACTGAATTATGCAACAACCACCTGATCCTTAAAGCTGTACTTCAACTTATATGTATGTCTTGTTAATGCGTGGTAAACCCTCGAAGACTGTGCCCAGTTAACAAATTAGTAAAGCTATGTAATGATGTCAATTGAGAAACAAGACTTAAAATCTTATGTAACACTCATTAATGACGGGAAAATATTATGTCATAGGAGAATCACCTAAAGTGTATCCCCATTAGACATACACTTAAATTTGTTTTAGACTGCACAACTCTCCATAAAAAAAGCTCATTAGGAAACCCACTACTAAGTGGATTATAAATTAAGAATTCCATCAAGGAATTCCATCGACCGCATGTGGATTTGGAAGAGTTTTCCCACTGCTCCATTCACAGTTTTTTTTTGTTTGTTTTTACCGATTAAAAAATAACAGCATCTGTTGTTCTAGACAAAGACAAAGGTAACATTGTCTATTGCGAGGAGGTAAATTCTAACAGCATGCACATTGTCATTGCTCACTCTTGGGGCTCTGACAGTTGGACTACATCCAGGGATTAATGTGATGCACTAATTTAACGCTGTCTGGGCTCTTATGTAATGAGCCTGGGCCAGTGTGTTTGAAGCTTGTTAACAGAAGGATCAGCAGGGTGTTTAAAAGTTACAATGCTGATAATAGTGACTACCACCTGATATAATGTGGTAGTCATGTTTATTTCTGTGTATCATCAACAACAGCCGGGAATTGGAATTACTAATCACACTTCCTCCCGTTATGACACATCAAATAAGACTCAGAGACTCCAGCCTGCTAGCAGCTCCACGAGGCTGCACTAAGGCACAGTGGTGCCTTGGGCTTCATGGTAACGTCGGCATACTTACAGTGATAATTTTAGCATTCTGAATGTTCAGCAGGTGTAATGTTTGCCATGTTCACCACCTCAGTCTTGCTTGTAGGTGAGCATACAAAGTACAGCGGAGGCTGATGAGAACAGATTTGCAGATGTTTGGTGGTAACTCAAAGTATTAAACATGGTCAGATTTTGACCTGATCATGATCGCCAAAGTGTTAAAGTTCATCCCAAAAGGAACATGGATGTTTCTACCAAATTTCATCTAATATGTTCAATAGACATTTCAGTCAAAACCACATAGGGGCTTTAGAGGAAATGTCAGGAGTTCAGTCTTTAGGCTAAATCATTTAGTTCACACCAATCCATCTTTTTCACTGGATAAATGGAAATTTGGACCTGCTGGTTGGTCAGTGAATCCTCAAAGTAATCAGGCCTTATCCTCTGGGGACCATGAATGTCTGCACCAATTTTATGTCATTCCATTCAATACTGAGATATTTCAGTGTGAGCCAAAGCGGAGGACCAACAGACCAACAGTGCATCACTAGAGCAGCCAGTGTGACTAAAAATGTAGTGAAAAATAGGCCCTGATCACACAGAAGGTATTCTTAACAGCTGGAGGCGGCTTTTTGTAGGTGTGTTTAATGAGAATTTAGCTTTTTGCTTGCTGTTTTTACGTTGCTACAAACCTCACGTCTAGCGTTTTTCCCGGATCACTCTGAACTCCTTCAGCTGAAAAAAAACTTCAAGTCAGAACAGAGAAGCAGCCCACATCATCTCCGCTTTTCCCCCCATTGTCCAATCAGTTGATTTGAGAGGCGGGCCTTCTGTAGTGGTCACAACAACAAGTTTACAGTTGGTAAATAATGGAGGAGAAACTAATGGTGGTGGTTGCTGGATCCCCAGAGCTATACAACTTTACAAACCGCAGTTACCATGACTTAAATAGAAAACAGCAAGCGTGGAAGCATATGAGTGCACCCTAAACCAGAGCTAGAGCAAGTACCCTCTGCCTGCCTATTTTAATAACTAGCTACTACAGTATGTACTGTGGAAATAAGTAGGTAGTTTTAGCTCACCAAAATAATGGTACATTGATTACACAGGAAGGTTAGGGTAAGGAGGTGATGGATCTGTTGCCTGGCAAAAATAAAAAGGTGCAGCAAGCATGTTTTTACTAATGGCATTCAATTACAAAAAAAAAAAAATGGTGGTGTGATGCAACTCACGTTTTCCAACCTGCAAAATGCTTTCTGTGTGTTTGTGGCCTAATAGTGCTCTGACTGCTTGAATCCTTGGTTCCTGGTAATCAGATAATTGTCAGTATCAGCCTGCAAGCACCCTAAGCTGTTTATCTTTCTTTCTTTTTAATCTAAAGAATATAAATATAGTGAATGAATACAGTTTTGATTAGAAGAATACTATAGTTTCCACGGATCTCCAACAGGACGAAGAGGTGCTGAAGCAGATTGAGAGGGAGGTGCGGATGCGGGAGGGGGCCAGTAAGCTACTGGCAGCTTGTACCAGGAGAGAGCAGGCCCTGGAGGCCTCCAAGAGCCTGCTAACCTGCAATGCTCGCATTCTGGCCTTGCTCAGCCAACTGCAGAAGATGAG